GTTTTGTCTCCCTTTTCTTCAAATTGTCTGAATCCTATCATTTTAGAGCAGGAAGGAGCTACGGAAAACAGCAGGGCCTCCTGGGAAGAATTGGGACTCTAATGCCAGCAGACCCCAGCTCTGTCCTCTGCTTATTGTGTGCCCCACCCCGCCCTGTTCTCAGGTGTAAAATGGAAACATTAATATCTGCCCCACGGACCTGTCTGAATATGACAGACCTATATGAGCCTGAACTATAGAGGCGTTAATAAGTGGGGCCTGTTTTCATTATCCATAGCTAAAGGTGAGAAGCTGAGAGCCGTAATGGAGTTGAGAATCACCCAAGGTGAGGAAACACTAGGCTGGGTGGGAACCCAGGACCCTCGACATCCTGCTATGTGGTCAAGGGCCTCTGAGAGAGGAAAAGGAGTGAGTGCAGAGCCATGTGAGGGAAGCCTACACAGGGTGAGGCGTGGGCAATGTCAAGGGTCACTCAGGGTTGTGCGCCAGGGGGGAAGACGGGAGGGAAGAGGTGGAGCCGCTGAGAGAAAATAGACCCGAGCCAGCCAGGCAAGGAGAGATGGCTCTCAGGAGGCGACTAGTTCCCGTTTAATCCCCAAATTCTGTGATTACAAAGATGTGCCTTTGAACAAAATCTTGGTTTCATCGCAGTATTTTTAGCTCTAGCAACAGAATAATCTGAGCAGAGATGAAACACAATAAAGATGTAGCAATAAGGACAACATGTCTATAATCATGTCCTGTTCCTGAAAGTGTGTGATTCCTCATGAATTCAGACACGTTAGGTGAAAGGCGGTTGAATTAGTGAGGAGTCTTAACCACACACCTGACTCCAAAATATGAAGGAATGAATGAAGGGAACTAACGCTGGCTGGTGTCAGGACGCATGGAAAGTCTCACATTAATTACATGGCAGGGCCAGGCCTCTGGGGTTTGAGGATGCTTGAAGAGCGTATGATAATGATGCTGCTTTTTGTACTGGGCACAGACTGACTTTCCTCCAGCAGTCGGGTGGAGGTCAGGGTCATTACCAAGGCCTTGGCTGACCCTGGTCCTGCATGAGGCCTGCTTCAGCCTTTGCGTATGAACCATGTTCCCGGGCAGAGGGTGCTGCCATGGGAGAAAGGCCAGCTTCCACCCAAGCTTTGATCTCTCCTATGTGGCAAAAGTGCACATCTACTGAGAGTGCACATCACTATTCACCCATAGGCCTACTCCAAGTCCCAATAATGTAGAAATAATAATACGACTCATAAAGCCAGAGGAAGATATATTGAGGAGGTCAGAGGTGATATGAGAACATTGGTTTATATAACCTTCATAGCAGTGGGGGTCAAAAGATGTGGTGCAGAATTAATAAATCAGATAACAGAGATATAAATGTATTTAAAAGTATAAAGGCACATACTCAGAGAAATACTAACAATAATATAACTAATCAAAGCTGTGTGACAGCAGAGGCAGAGGTAAGAAGAAGGGGAAGTGTGCTGATTCACCATCGTTCACAGTGAGGAGTCGATAGATGCTGTCCAGCGAATGAGAGGATTGAGTAAACTGCATAAATTGTCACTCTCAGGGTTAAGTACTAGAAGAACCAAAAACGATGATAAACCTTCAAAGGATCAGAAGGGGAAAGAGACGTCTGACAAAGCAGATGCAACCACAGAGATGTTAACAAGCAGAGTGAGGACAGGACAGGATGCATAATGTGCTACAGTGGGTATAAAAGAAGAGCGTGTCCCCGTAAACATTTTTATGTTTCCGTAGTGTTAGATTCTCACCAGAAAGATACACAAGACAGAAACTAGCACCCTTGCCTGCCCGAGCAGAGGGGTCTGGGAGGCGTGCAGGCAGGGTGTACGAGACTATTTATCTGACACTTGTGTACTATTTTTGAGCCATGTGAATGTAATGCAATTCCAAAAGTAATAATAAAACATTTTAATGTAACATTTTAATGCCTTTAAAAACAAAAAAAAGGCAGCTTAAGCCTAGAAGTTTTCCAAGATGTATATTAATTCCATGACAAGAGATGCTGTTCCCAGCCAGAGGATAGCCGGCCAGCGACACTGGAGTTAGAGGAGTTCCCCTGGCCCCCGAGGAAGCAGGAGGTTGTTGGGTGACACATGCATAAAGGAGGAGCCACTGTCACGCGGCACCTGCTCTGTACCTGGCTCAGGGCAGAGCGCGCACTGTACTCAATGAATGAGACGAGGCCTGAGGAAGCTGGGGGTCCCTCCTAGAGTGAAGGATCCGTCCCCAGATCCTAAGGGGCCCAGTGGGAGCTTGATCTGCTTCTGTCTGCTCAAGTCCCTGTGCTGCCTATGGCTGGCGGAGCTGCCAGCCCTCAGGCATCTGGGAGCCATCCCAGCATCATGCCTGGGTGAGGACCAGAGGCCCTCGGAAGGAAATCCTGTGGAGGCTGCATGTGGTCACGACAGAGAGACGGCCAGAACACCAGGCAGAGGGGCTACAGGGGGGCAGCATCATGTGGCTATAGAGGGTGGAGAACTGGCTCTGGTTATTATCTGGTAATAATATTACAACCCAGAGTGACCGTGCGTGAATGCTCTGCCTGTGCCCGGTCCTTACGGCCATCACCTCCTGCTGTTAGCCAGCAGCCCTCCCGTGACGCATTTCTTGTTGTTCTCCCCCGTCAGAGTCTAACACACTGAGATCAGAGAGGCCACGTCACTTGTTCACAGTCACAGAGCAAAGACTTTGCAGAGCCTGGACTGCAGCCCAGTATGTGCACCGCTGAATCGTGTGCTTGTCAGGCCCGGCACGCTGTTTTCTCTTGGGAAATAGGCTCCTACATGGTGGGCATCCGGGGACACACTGTCCAGAGTAACCAGGATCTAGCAAGGGGGCTCTCCCTCTGCTGGAAGATTGGGGTGGATGTTTTCTCTTCATGGAAACAGTATGACTTGGTGGAAAGTGAAGGCTTTGGAGCCAGACAGACTCAGGGTTCTAGTCCCGGCTCTGCTGGTTACTTCCTTTGTGACTTCAGGCAGACTGCTTACCCTCTCTGAGCTTTACTGCTTCATGGCAGAGTGAGGATGCATACAGTACCTGGTGGGACCGTTGCGAGGGCTCAGAGGGGTAAGGGCTGTCGGGAGTTCAGCAGGAAGAGCTCCAGCGTGGTGGCTGCAGTGACTAGGTTGTCCTCATTTTCAGGATGCTAGATGTCCAGGGGTCTCAGAAGGGTCAGTCTAGGGTTCCCTTTGCACCTGAACTCCAGACTGCCACCCTGCGACTAGGCAAGGGAGAGAAAGGTGGGAGGGAAGGTCCAGAAGAAGAGCTGGCTGCACATCTCTGGGCTGCCTGTCAATGGTCGGTGAATGGGGAAGGGCAGGCATCTAGCAGGACACCCTGGCCAGAGGCCCAACGCTAACCGGGCCACATCCAGGAAGCCCGGGGATAGCTGGTCATCATGGTGGGGAGATGAGACCATCAGAGGCAGAGCAGCAGCTATGACAGCAAGTCAGGGGCCAGAGTTCAGGGTCCTACAGCCACCCGGGCCTACAAATGGCAGTCACTGTAGCCAGGGCAGGGTATGCAGTCCCCCAGTCTGTGTGTGATGATACTGACAAGCAGTGGTTAGGGGCTTAATGCTAGCATGCACTCGACATCTGACCCCATGGAATTGTCCTCCTGGCCTCCCAGGTGGTGGGCGGGGAGAGGTTCTGTATATAGTTGGGCAGGTGACGATGTGCAGGAGCTGGGAAGATGCTGGTGAGCTCGGTCCCAAAGAACGTGGGAGAAGGAAGACAAGGAGCAGAGGCGTTTCCCCGGAGTTGGGAAGACGGAGGGTGGACAGGCAAGGTGTGTTGGATTACCAAGGCCCTGTCACCAAGGCTTCATCTCTGCAAGTGGCTGTCCCTCCTCCAGGAGGACAGCATTCAGCTCTGCTGGCCTGGCCCCCCACAAGTCCCTTGTTTAACTTGGTACATTTGGCTGTCATTAATGTTTGTGGATGTCACAGCACCCACCACTTCTGGTTTAAATCAGCAGAAACGCAGCAGCTGGACCACAGTTGTGTGTGAGCCTAAAAGGAGGCTTCACATGTTGTGTCCGAGCTGGGTCTCAGAGTTGGCACTGCCTCTTCAGAGCGGGCAGAGGGGGCCTTGGAGTGGCCTGGGTGGAGAGGTTTGATCAACCATAAACCCTTGATAATCAAGGAACTCTGAGCGACGTTCAGAGCGGCGGAGCCCTCCCTGAACTGAGTAATAAGCACCCTCCTGCCTCCTTGCCGGGAGAAGGATTATTTAAAGTGGAGCCCCCCGCTCAGAGCCACCACGATGGGGCCTCCAGGGGGAGTGAGAGCAGATGAGGGGCAGGAGCGCGGGGCTGAGAGGAGGGAATGGGCGTGCGCCGTGCATCAGCGCCGTTCTGGAAGCTGGGGATCTGCAGGCAGGCAGGGAAGATGAGAGAGGAAGGACGAGTAACAGCAGTGAGAGCCAACTGGTGCTCCGCGGCCGTCACGCCCCCACAGGCCACGCTGTTGGAGAAGGGTGCCTTTTAAAGAACTTTCTGATGGGAGGCCCTGCCCTGGGCCCAGGCGAGGAGAAGAGCAAGATCCTGGACAGGGGTGGAGGAGGGACAGAGAAAGCGCTGAGCACTCGGCCGCGCCCCGTCAGAAACACTCGCGGGTTCCTGTGGTGTGCTCTCTGCCTGCCAGTGGCCGCAGGGAAGAGGAGATTGTTTTCACATCTTGCTCCTGTAAAGGATGAAGAGGGGACAAGTGTAGTGGGGGGCCAGCACTCTGAGGCCCTCCGTTCATCACCAAGGGCGCGACTTCCCTCTTCACGGGCACCACCTCTGCCTCTCAGACTCCTGAGAGGTGCTGGCCGGGGAAGAAGGAAATAGCAAAGAAACAAGAAACAAACGGCTGTCTGGGTTCCCAGTGCAGGAGTGATTATGGGGTGGCGGGAAGCGGGGGATTGCCCCGTGTGACTGAAGGAATGCTGATGGAGCCGCCCTCTGTGCCCCACCTGCAGGGTACCAGATTGCCTACCGCCTGTCCAGCAGCAGCCCCAACACCTTCACCACAGTGGAGGTCGGCGCCACGGTGCGGCAGTTCACAGCCACTGAGCTGGCCCCGGAGTCGGCATACATCTTCAGGCTGTCCGCCAAGACGAGGCAGGGCTGGGGGGAGCCTCTGGAGGCCACCGTCATCACCACTGAGAAGAGAGGTGAGACCTGAGGCTGCGGTTCCCTGACACGGTCAGTAGGGGGAGGAGAGATGGGCTCAAATGGGAGCCGTGAACATGGAGGGCATGCAGCCTCCTCCGTCAGGCCCAGTGCTCTGCCCTGTGGGTGGCTGTGGGAACTGAGGGTTTATGAAGCACCCACTGAGCCATACCTGGAGCTGGGCATGTTACCATAGCGTGTCTACGTAACCCAACGTTTACCACATGCCTCTGCTCTCAGAGAGTCATGATTGTCCAGGTTTAAAGATAGAGACGCGGTTCAGAGAGGTTGTGTAACTGGCCCAGGGTTGCACAGAGTCACCGTGTTTGAGGGCAAGCTCCCTTAAGGCAGACACCTGGTCTCTGATGCTCAAAACCACATCCCCAGTTGAGCAGACACTCAATAAAGATGTTTTCTACCTAGCCATCCTAGAAAGAAGTGTCTTTATGGACACCCCTTCTGCTCCAAGCACTGAGTGAGTGCTAAATGAATATTATCTTGATTTATCCTAACCAAAGCCCAGGGAGGAACGTGTTGTGTGTGCCAATTCTACAGGAGAGGAAGTTGAGGCCCAGACAGGTCTAGTCATGTGCGCAGAACACACAGCTGTGGGGCTGAGATGTGGAGGATCTCAGCAGACCCCACGGCCCACTCTTCCCGCAGAAGTCTGCTGTGGTCTCCTGGGCACATCCTCAGCCTCGCTCTGGAATCTGCTTCAGCAGGCTCCCTCCTCCAGGGCCATTGCTGTGGGGCCTCTTACATAAGCAGCTTTGGCTCCAGCTCCAGGTTCTGAGGTCATGGCCAGACCCAGAGATCCTGGGGAAAATGACAACCCGAAGGAGCTTGCTGGCACAGCTGACGGGAACCGCTGGGAGCAGATGGCCTGTCCTACCTCCCTTCTGAGAGTCAGTAGGTGCCCAGGCTCTGGAGCTGTGTGACCTTAGGCAAAGCCCTTCTCCTCTCTGGGCCGTGGCACCGACCTGTAGCATTTATGTGAAGCTCTCAGAGCAGGGAACCCCTGAGAAAGTGTGCCACTTGCTGTCAGCATTGTCATCAGAGCTCCCCTGGGGGCAGAGCGGGCACAACCCATGAGCTCACTAAATGTGAGCTGGGCCATTGCTGCCTTTGTGACATTCTGTTACAAGATGGAGAGTAGACAATGTAAGGGAGCCATGAGTTGAACCCAGAGTGCTTGAAAAACAATTCGAAGGGCAGATCTTAAATCTAGAAAGTGAGAGGAAAAGGAGACTGACGTGTCCTGAGCGCTCACTACGTTCTGATCATCTTTGAGGAACGTGGTCAGGCCAGAGCCTTCAGTGTCGAGGGAGCAGCCAGGGCCCTGCCTTCCTCCCAAAGGGGACCAGAGCAGCTGGCCTTGGCCCTGGCCTTCCTGCTCAGAGTTGATGCAACCCCATAGGAACCTCCAGCACTTTCTAAAGTAGAGGGAAAGAGACGGGTTTGCCTTGACTTAAAAAGATCCGGGTTGGGGGCCGGCCCGGTGGTGTGCTGGTTGAGTGCGCATGCTCCGCTGCAGTGGCCCGGGGTTCGCAGTTTCGGATCCCGGGTGCACACTGACGCACCACTTGTCAAGCCATGGTGTGGTGGCGTCCCATATAAAGTGGAGGAAGATGGGCACGGATGTTAGCCCAGGGCCAATCTTCTTCAGCAAAAAGAGGAGGATTGGCGTTGGATGTTACCTCAGGGCCGATCTTCCTCAGCAAAAAAGAGGAGGATTGGCATGGGATGTTAGCTCAGGACTGATATTACTTACAAAAAAAAAAGGAAAAAGATCTGGGTGGAAGTATTAACATGAATGCCCTTTAGGAGGCATCCTGCTGCTGATGGGGATGGGGGCCACGCCCCCCCAGGCCCCCCGATCCCACCCCATACACCCCCACTTCACTCTGCCTCCCAACCCTCTCCCCCATACCACCTGCACCACCTGCCCCGCCTGATTCTCGGGCCCATAGAGTTGAGGAGATTTCCACCAGGGCCCGTAGATCCTCAGTCCTTGTAGCTCGCAGAGAGGGAGCCTAGGAGAGCTTTGCCAATCGTCAATATGTCCAGGAGGGGGCCTTTGAAGCAGGAGAGGGGACTCGGGGCTATCGCTGGGGGCGAGGAGAAATCCTGTGGCCAAAGTGTGTGCTGAAAGAGAGGAGTGCTGAAGAAGTGAGGTGGAAGGACTCCTCACAGGCCCCACCGCGGCGCCGGCAATCAATTGGTGCTTTATTACAAGCCACACATTTTAATCAGAATCAATAATCTTCATGATAAACAATTAAACAGTGATTCCTCCCCCTATGGAGTTTCTCTACTGAAATCGATGGGGTGAGGAGATGCCGTGATGGCAAAAGAAGCCGGGCACTGGCCCGTGCATTCCCCATCCCCATGGCCGCAGGCCCAGAGTGGACAGTGATGCCCGAGGCACTCGCCCGAGGAAGACTGAGCTCGATACTGTAAAGTCTCAGGCTCAGGCTGACTTGCACGGAAAGGAAATCGGTGTCAAAGATGCACTGAGCCCAGAATCAGAAAGAAAGAGAGCAGGGACCTGGAGGTGCTCAGGAGAGCCAGGTGTCACTCAGAGATGCCTGCACTCGATGGCACGGTGGGTGGGGGAGCACGTGATTGTTCACCTCTGTCTGTCTGTCTGTCTCTGCTCTGAGGGTGGAGCATTCTGGGAGCAAGCAAGGGTCGCCAATCCGATCCAAGCTGAGGCCCATCCAAAGGCAGCTGTAAGAGAGCCCCACGTCCCGGTGAAACCAGATTCTCCGATCCAGGCGGCAGCTCTCACGGGCACAGTGCACCACGGTCCATTTCACGGGGAGCCTTTCCTGGAAGAGCAGCCTCTCACGTGTCTCTGTTCTGTCCTCGTTTGGTTGCAGAGCGGCCAGCGCCCCCCAGAGAGCTCCTGGTGCCCCAGGCGGAAGTGACCGCTCGCAGCCTCCGGCTCCAGTGGGTCCCGGGCAGTGACGGGGCCTCCCCCATCCGGTACTTCACCGTGCAGGTGCGAGAGCTGCCCAGGGGAGAGTGGCAGACCTACTCCTCATCCATCAGCCATGAGGCCACAGCCTGTGAGGTCGAAAGGTACTGGAGAGTCAGGAGGACCCTCTCCCCAGGAACGGGGTCCCTGCTCCTTAGGGTGCCTGCCCCGGGCCTCCCCAGCCAGCTCCTGCCCACAGGGTAGGGAGTCTGTATGGTCCTCCACGGAGATGCACCACTGAGAGCTCATGTCTCTTCTTCTAATCGACATTCCCCATCCCAGGGACCCAGGATTTCTGCATCCTGGAGCCCACTTCCACAGGCCCACCCAGGCCTCTTCCCCAGTCTGTCCTCCCAAGCATGCCTGGCACAACTGGTTTGTGCACCCGAGGTGATTGATGAGGCATAGATGATAGGGACAGTGAGCCTAGAAGTGTGGGCATCCCTGAGAGGCTGAGCTGGGGAGGGGAGAGTGATGGGGAAGGGGTGGGCCCAGCCACTGATGTCACAGGGCCTGGAGAGTCATCCCTTCTCTTTGTGCTCGCTCTCCAAGCCAGCAAGGTAGATAGATTCCACCTCAGTGCTGTCATTTGTGAGTGATGGCTGATAGGGAAATGGGAGGGGTGAGCCCACAGAACAAGAGGAGAACCCACCATTTATTCGGTTGTTTAGGAAACCACTAGGCATGGGAGGGAGGGGAGTGCTGACAGTAGCAGCCAAGCTCTCTGCATGCACGACCTCCTTTGGTCCTTTTGCAGTCCCACCCCTCCTTACGGTGAGGAGACTGAGGCTGGGTGAGGTAAGTGAACTGCCAGGATCACACAGACCTAACAGGCTACATGGAGGGCCTGAGAAGTGACCTCAGGTCCTACATGCTCACTGCCGGCCCTGGGCTGCCTTGCTCCATCCACCCTATGGAAGCCCCCGGTCTGTTAGGTTGGCGGGCCTGCCTGGGGAGACTGGCATGGGCATCTTCACTGAACTTCTCATCTGGCTCTGATTTTAGTCACTTTCCATTAAGTTCACACTCTGGGATGTGAGGAGGGGCTACTAAATAGTGAGTCCCACCGTTTCTGTGGGGTCTAGCACCCTCACCAACCTTATAGGAGGATAGAGAAGGCTGTGACCGTGGTTTCCCAGGCTGGCCAAGGTTCCTCTCATATTTCAGACTCAAGCACCATGTATTCAGCACCTGCCATACCACGCACCATGCTAGGAAATTTCGTACATTAGCTCATTGAATCCCCACGATAGCCCAATGACGGGAAGACCATCGTCCCCATTCTGTGGATGAAAAACAAGGGTCAGAAGTCAGTAACTTGCCTGTAGCCCCCAGCCCATCCAGCAAGGAGCGTGCGTGGAACCTCCCATGGGTGTCCCGATCCTCCTCACTTGCAAGGCCACCCAGCTCAGCTCCTGCTCTCTGCTGAACCTGAGCAGAGGAAAAGAAGCAGACGGGGAGGCTCCTGTGGCAGCCTCGATCTTCAGGGACCCCCAGAGGCACAGTTCAGGCTTTAGAATCAGGGGTCAGGCTTGGAGTGTGGCTCTGTCACTGTCTTCTAGATGTGACAACAGCAGGGTTTAAAGAGAAGAGGAACACCCCCTCCCTGATTTGAGGACCAAGCACATGAAGGACGTGAAGCGTGATGCACATGGTGGGATATGGTTAGCACTGGGGTATCATGGGAAGATTTTGGAGCCAGAACTACCCAGGCTCAGGTCTGCTTTCTGCCACTCGCGATTTGGGTGATCTTGGCAGCTGACTTGAGCGTTCTTGGACATCTCATCATCACTTGCCTTTTGGGTTGTTTTGTGATTTGGAGATTAAAAAGGCACCTCGCAGCACCAGGCCCTGGGGCAGTGGTGGCCACTGGTATAATAGCATCATTGTCACCCTGCACTGCCCACTGAGGAGGCGCACCTGTGTGTTGAGTGCGTGTCCTAACTGGACGTCCATGAGCAGCACCAGGAGATCACACAGATCTTCCAGCATCTCTGCTTTGGCTCACAGACTTGGTGCCCCTGTTGGAGATGGCCTTCCGAGCAGGTTATAGGCCCAGAAGGAAGGTAGCTCATCAGCTTATAGCTACAGCTGTCTGGAACCCCTAATGATATACCTTTGCACAGTGACCCCTTCAGTCACATGATCCAAACAGCTCTCAGCTCTGTCCCAAAATGGAGGATGAACGGTCCCCAAGCACGAGTATTATTTCCAGCAGGACCGGAGTCACTGCCTGGCCTCCTACTTGAAGGGGACGACATTTGTTCAGACACATCTGTTGGCGAGTTGGAGTTTACAAAACCAGTTACAGTTACTACCACTGTAATTATGCTCCTCATGGTGGGAAAATGAGACTGGAATGGCATCGGTTTTGTGGTTCACCTCTGAGATGACCTGGTCAAGTAGCTTCCAGATGGTTAAAGCATTCTGTCCAGTCTTCATTACTGCCATTATTATCATTGCCATCACCATTACCATTATCATCTCAACATTATACAGCATTCTGTCATTTTCAAAACAATTTCCATATGTTGTTCCATGCAATATCCATAACAGCCCATGGAGACACAGACCAGACTTCCTATTATTCCTGTTTTGCAGGTGAGGAAGTTGAGACAGAGACATCTTAAGTAATGAGTATGCTGTGCCTCAGCCACTCCAAATGAAGGAGAGAACCTTTTAGATTCTTTGTAGTTCTAACATTCCCTGGGCCTGTAGCTCAGAGCTTCATGGACACAAACTATCTCACAGCTAATTTATGAGAGTCTGCGATGTAGTGAAAAACAGTATGTTATCTTCCAAACACCAAGCCCTCGGCAATCCATCTACCCCTTAGTGGCCGTGTGGCCTTGGAAAAGTCCATCATGTAAGCTTGCTAAGCCTGAGATTTCTCATCTGTGAAAGATGGGGCTGGAGGAACGACCCTGTTTTCCTTTCAGCTCTGTGAGTCCAAGACTTGCCTCAGTTACTGACAGCAGCGAACTGGCAGCCAACTAATAAGGCAATCCAAAACAGTCCAACTCGGTCCTCCCAGGCTGCTGCCAGGGTTCCACTTACCCTTTGAATGACAGCCATAGAACCCAAGAGGCGGAGCTCTCAGCCCTTCAGAGGAAAGCACTCCTGCCGCAGAGGCCTTCTCCCTGGAGCCCTAGAATTCTCCTGGCATGGCCCCGAGGGTTGGTGAGCGTGGCCAGCCATGCCCAGCTTACTCAATAAACCACACTTTAGTGCACTAGGTGCTTAGCTTAATTAGAACGTGCTCATGGATATAAATAATTTCACCCCTTTGTGTAACCATCTGAAAAGAAGAAGAAAAATAAAATCCAACTGCCTTTCCTGTCATGGAGCCTCCTGAAATCAAACAGAGCAACTGTGTGCTTGGGACTTCCTGTTGGAAAGGAGAGGTCCATGTTTCAGGACAGACAGTTTAATCTGGTATAGGAGAGACTGTTGTCAATTTCCTAATGGGCCAGAACTAGGACAAATGCTTCCTCTACCCATCAATAGAGAACGTGTCACGGGCAGAACCCCAGGAAAGCAATATTTTCTACACTGCCGTGGTATAATCTCCCTTCCTGTCTCATAATCCTGACGGCTACATTTTCCTTTTTTTTTTTTTTTTTGACGTTCCTTTTACATTTTACTTTGGCCAGTTGCATGAAATCTGCCAGTGGCCCAAAGTAATAAAGATTTAAACAAAAGTTTAAAACAGAAAGTTGAACCATCCACATCTAGTGGTTGTACTGACATCTAGTGAAGGTGGGTCTAGTGCACGAGGGGCAAGGTTGGGTTTGAGGGACATAGTTAGGCACCACTGCTGTCTGGTTGACGACTGCATCCCACGGAAATGCAGCAGGGCTGAAGAAGAGGAGGGCTTCAAGCCCAGAGCCACGTGGACCTTCTGGATGTCACTGGGATAGAGCAGTGCTGGTGTGAGCTCAGGTGATGTTGTGTATCCAGGAATGTGGGTCAGCTGTTCCTCTGAACCTCGCTCTGTCACAGGGGCTATGGACCCAAACCCAAACCCCAAGGGCCCAAAGAGAGTTACCGTGTAAAACAATCGGGATTAAATTACAGTCGAGATGCGGCCCTGTCTCCATTGGAGTCTTTCCTTTTTTCCTTCTGCGTAATCTTTAAAAATAATGCCCTATTAAAAATCGGGTAAATTTGGCCAAGGATAGCGTGCATGGGTTGGATATTCTTTGTTCTTTGTGATACAAATAATGAGTTCTTAATAAATATTTCCAGTACCTTAAAGATAAATAAATGAATACATAGAGGCCGCAGAGGATAGCTTCTACAGTGTTCAGGACTCACATATTTTACTATTATAATCAAAATGAATGAATGAACATATGGAGCTCCTTCTGTTTATGAGTCTGCATTTCACTCTGTGGGCGGCACACTGAACTGTGAGCCGTGACCTGCCCCCACCCCACCCCACCCCATGCCCTCTGGCTGTGTAGGTGAACCGTGGGGATGAGTGGAGGGTGACAGTCCAAGGCAGGACAAGCACAGACTTGCTTTCTAAATATGCCTGGTTCCTGCAAGAATTCCCATCACAAGTTTGGGCAGTGAGGGTCCTGTGTTATCCACATCTGTTCCTTCCCTGAGTTTTGGATGGTGAGAGTTTAGATAATGGGTGTTATCTCAAAAATTTACCTGAATCTATCCAGTTTCTGAGTTTGGATGGCAGAAAATTGGCAGGCGAGCCATGAGGAATGTGAGAAGGGCTGAGGGATGCTGCACGCAGCAGGGCTGGAGCTCCTGGGAGATGAGATCCCGTGGCCGGGCAGCCGGGGAGATGAGAAAGAAAAGGTCACATTTATTAAATGCCTACTGTGTGCCGAGAGCTCTCAGACTCCATGAGGCTCATAATTTACCTTTCACAATGGCCCTGGAAAGTGCGGGTGTTGTCGTCTCGGTTTTTATAGGTGAGTGAAGTGAGGCTCAGAGAAGCTAAATGACTTGCCCAGGTCAGGAGCGGCTGATTCCAAAGCAGAGGCTTGAGGAGGCCTGGAAGAGTGAACAGAGAGCAGAATGTGGGGAAATTAGAGGGGTCAAAGGAGAGTATTCCAGGATGGTTTGTCCTTTATTCATTTACCGAGTAGTCACCGGAGTCCGGCTCTGCGTAGAAGGGAGCAGGACAGGAGCAAGGGGGCGGGTGAAGGCGAGGGTCAGGGTGGTAGACCAGTAGTCTAAAGAAGCAGTGCCGCTGAGAGATGAGGAGCATGCAAAGTAGGCTACTGAGCGGGAGACCAGGAGAGGGGACACCGTCACCATCGTCACTTCTCATTGGTCATGAGCTGGCTGCTCCCTTCACTGCCTCTGAGTCGCCCTTTGCCTGTTTTCAGGCACCCAGCGGGGCTTCCTGCCCATTGGGTGAGCTCCTACAGCTCCGATGCCTTAGTGCACCCTGAGACTCCCGGAGACAGCTCATCAATCCTGTGAAGGAAGGGGGCCCGGCCAACACGGGTCTAACACCGTCTACCTCAGACCTGGGCCATGTGATCTGTATGCCCCGGGCTCCTCAAGACCCCAGAGGATGGGAAAGTGGTCTTCAAAGAGCTTGATGTTTGGCCTCAAATCCCGAAATTGTTAGAAAACTGTGAAGCACTAAATATAATGTAATAAATCACATGTACTAAATATATTCTAAATAATAATATACTAAATAAATATAAGTGCTAAATAAATATAAGTACAGTGACAAGGGTCATTTCTGGGGCATCTACTATGTGCCAGATGGTTTGCTGATTTTTACGTGCGTCCTCTTATTCAACCTCCCGAGAAACATATGAGATAGATAACGTCCCCCCTTCATTCATTCCTTCATCAGGTGTCCACTGCCCACCTCTGGGGTCCATGCACTATTCTTGGTGCCAGGGATATGCAACAAATGAGGCCACTTGGTCCCTGTCCTCAGGAGTCCTGAGTCTTGTGAAGAAGATAAATGGTCATCAAGGAAACGAACCATTGATTGCAAACTGTGATGAAGGAGAGGAGGAAATGAACAGGGTGTAGAGGACAGGCATTTGCTTTAGCCGTTGAAGCTGACACCTACCGGGAAATAATAGTAGTAACAGCAGCTAACATCTAGTGAGCACTTGCCGTGGGCCAGATTGTCTTCTAAGCTCCTCCTGAGTTTATTCTAAACAACAGCCTCACGATGCAGGTGGTCCTGTCAGCCCGGAGAAGGGAACTGAGGCACAGTTACCTGCCCAAGGTAACCTGGCAGTCAGAGTCCATGTTCCTATCAACCACACTGTACTGCCTTCTAATTTGAGAGAGGAGCTGGCCAGGCTAATGTGGGAGCACAGGTGGGTGAGGCGGGAGGTCAAAGGAGAAAAAATGCAATTATCACCAAAATTAGATAAAATAACTCCCAGGAAGCTAGGAACAGATGGGAAGTTATTTGTTTGTTTTGACATAATAAAGGCTGTCTCCCCAAAACCTGTAGCCAAGATCAGTCTTCAGGGTGGAGCGTTAGAAGCCTGTCCAGCAAAGTTGCTTTGTCCCTACTCTTTCCAGCTGTGGAATCAGGGCACAGAGAGGCCGGAAGACTTGCCTCCAGTCCTGGCCTAGCAAGTAACATTGTAAGCCCAGGTTCTGCAGGGCTTTGAAGGACGAGCATCCCTGGAGATGTTAGCTGATGGAGAACCACTGTCCTCTGCTCTGAAGCAGGAGGGCAGTATGAAAACAGAGAGGGGAAATTTTTCTGATCATGGTTTGCAAAAATGGTTATCAATTTTTTAAAAAGCAGAATCCTTTCTCTAAACAAAGTATTACCCCGAACCAACTTATAAAGCAGATGGAAGTGGGGCTGCTGTTGGTTGGTGCAGGGGTCTGGGGGCCCTGGGCTCCCAGAGGGTTTCTCAGAGTCTCAGGGGTTCCTCAGAGCTCAGTTGGGAAACCACTAGTTTCCAGGTTGGATTGGGAGGGAGGAGAGAGGATTGGTTTTGAGGTGATTGATGAGGGCTTTGCTTGGACTGGTGGTTGAGGAAACTTAGAGATAGTTGGACTGGAAGGACAGGGGAGGTGGAATCTAGAATCACTCCAGTTGTTCTGGTCTGGGAAATAGAGAGCATGGTGGAGCTGCTGCTGGGAGGGGAGGGAGAGAATGCAGTTTCCTTATCTGCTCACTTTGAAGTGACGTGAAGGATGGCTGGCCAGCCAGGTACTGAGCAAGAGTGAGCACTTGCAAGTGCAATTCAGGCGACTTGATGAAGATCTGAGCATCGTCTGCACAGAAGAGTTTGTGTAAAGTATTAGTCTTGGGTGTGTACAGTGCTTGGCTCATGAGACCCAAGAAATACAGAATTCTCTATGGGTGGATAGGAGGAAGGAAGAAGGGAGGGAGGGAGGAAGGACGGATGGATAGATGGATGGAAGTAAGCCTGAAGTGGTGGCACCAAGTCGTGCCTCAGGGGATAATTAGTGCCCCTAAAATCTCCACCAGTGGGCTGGGAAGGGGCAGCATTTTTCATATGGACAACTGACATTATCTTGGTCTTAGGTAAAGTGGCCGGCAAATATTACTTCAAGATAAGACCCTTATTTCAATCCCAGCCAAGCCACTTACCAGTCCTCTGGCAGTGGGCAGGGGACTTACTCTGACAGGGCTTCTGTTTTCTCATCCAGGACATGGGAATCATAGTGACTCTACGCTACAGAGCTGTTCTGTGGGCTGAATGTTGTAATGCCTGTCAAGTGCTTGGCACCGTGTCTGGCTCAGTAGATGGGGGGCTCTGCCTGTAGCTGGGGCAGGAGCAGACCTTGGAGCCAGGCTGGGGCTGGCCAGTGCAGACCCCCACAAAGGAGTGGTTTGGCGTGAGCGAGGAAGTGAGCTAGGCAGGTGCTCATTGTACGCTCTGGATCAGAGCGAGGGCTAAAGTAATTAGCTCCTCCTGAGAAATCCTCAGAGTGGGTTCCTCAGAGAGCAGCAATTTGCTACACAGGAGTATCTCTAATTACAGGAGACAGTGGTTCCTCCCTCAGGAGCCCTAAGCAGAATCTCTGTCCCCTGGTCCCCTGGCCAGGAAGTTCTGCCTTCCCCTCCCCTCTGGGAAAGTCCTCTCTCCCCAGGCAGGCCAGTAAGGCGGTGCTGGGCATTTGAGGGCTACTCCCCAGACAGTCCTGGGGACCGCTGAAGCCCCACTCACTGCTGCCAGGAGTGATTCCACCCTGACCCCAGGACATCCTCCTCCTCGCTGGAGGAGCTCTGGCCACAGAGAAGACCTTCCCCAGGAGCTCTGGGGGCAGTGCAGGGGGGAGGTCTCCCTGCAGTCACTGGTATCTTCCATGTTTCAGGCTGAGGCCCTTCACCTCCTACAAGCTGCGCCTGAAAGCCACCAATGACATCGGGGATAGCGACTTCAGCGTGGAGACGGAGGCCGTAACCACACTGCAAGATGGTGAGCAACAGACATGGCCACTTCCAGCTGCTGCCTTTGGACCTGAAACATTGTCTCGCAGCGAGAGGCCCCACTTTCTTCTTGAGCCAGGAAGGGTCACCCGAGGGAGTGAGGGAAGCGGGGGTGAGCAGTGGGATTCAATTAGGAACAGACAGCCTGGAGCACTCCTGTACAGCCTGTGGCCGTAAATCAAGATTTCAAGGGCTTCCAAATGGAAGGAAGGTTCTTTGATTGGCTTCCAAACCCCTACAATCCATTAGCATCCCAGAAATTGAATAATTTATACGGTCATTAAAAATAAATGTCACAGGGTAGCTGAGTTTTAAGAGGTTCCCCCCATTTTTCTCATTCACAAGCGAACCCAGTTTTGCCATTTGACAGAAGCACAGTTGAGAGATGGAAGTGAGGTCCCCTAAAAGCTCCGTTCACCTTCCACCCCTCTGTCTACGCAGAGGACTTGGACCTGAAGCTCCACGGTGATTTCGTATGACAATTGGCCAGGCCTGGAGTGAGCCGGGAGACAGCGTCATCACACACGCCTGGTGGTGACAGGCCAACTTTTAGGATGGAAAGGATTGCCATTGCGTAGCAGATGCCGCAGCTCAGACCCCGGGCTGCGAACCTGAGCACTTAGCTCACCCAGCAGCACTTTATAATAATTCCCCAAACCTACCCCAAAGCACTGTCTTTTCCATTTAATGCACCAGAGGAACCATTTTTAAACAAACTAATCTCTAGCCGGCTTGCCCCAGGACCTCTCATCTTCAGTTCTGCACTTTTATCACCTCTGAGTTGAGCTTTTGCAAGACGAGGCTCGGGTGACCTTAAGGACCAGCAAAGGGGATCAGGGGGACCCTTCTAGCTTCTCAGCAATGCTCAGAGATTGTTTTACTGCACACCCAGCGCTCCTAGCAGAGCAGAACCCGCCAGGGCTGTGTGTTCTTGATCAGGGGCCTTCCCACCTTGAGAGGATGCCCAGGCCATGCTCTCGAGGAGCCCCAGCCTGGACAGGCCAGGGAGGGAAGGCAGGACCTGCCCCTTGAGAAACTAGGTTGCCTTTTTTGGCTCCTATTTTAATCTTACATCTAACAACTGAGGTAATATTTGTGACTAAGCACTAGTTCTTAGAAGAAAGAAACAAATACAGCAAGCTGATTTTTCTGGCGGGTCTCTGAGGAAATTATGTGCGAGCAGGACGCGTTGCCTCTGCCTGCCTTACATGGCTCAGGCAGAATGGGCCTTTTTTGAAAAAACATTCAAGAGCCTCTTCAGGCTTCCCAGAGGTCTTTCTTAATTCTTTGATATTCAAATCACTTCTTTTGATGCACCTATCCTGTTATCTTCCTTTTCTGAGATCTGCAATTTCTCTTTTAGTGGATTTGCATTGTGTTTGCATTGTATTGTCTCCAAGTCTGACCATCAGCTGAGGCTGGCAGGCAGGGACTGACTCCAGGGGCTGGGGAACCCTGTGTTGGGTGGTGGGGGGTCCTTTGAGTGTGTGGATGGTTTGCTAGTAAACATCTTATTGTAGTGATTAGGACATTGAGGCCCCCGTAATTGCGATCAAGTGTGATCAGGAAAGCTGGACAGGGCTCTACCACTGACTTAAGATAGAACAGCAGGAGGCCAGAGGGCATGGGCTACAGAGCCATCCATAAGGCAGAATAGAGAGGACTCAGGTGTGGCTGGTACAGACCTGCCCCAGGTGCTGGGCCCGGAGGATGGGGAGGTCACAGAAGAGGGGACCCAGGGACCAAGTCTCAGATGGTGAGTGAAGGGGGCATGCCAGGCACACAGGAGGGGGCGGGGTGGGGAGAACATCCCAAATCCTTCCCTTCGATGACTATTTTTGAACATTTAATATGTCATGAGTCTCAGGATTCTACAGTGGAGGAACCATAAAAAGGTCCATTCAGTCGGCTAAGAGGGCCTCACAGATCCGATGGGGCAGGAGCAGGGGGCGGGGTTCAGAGAGGGTGGTTGGACCTGGCGGGTGCTGGAAGGATTTTAGTTTCCAGGGTGCAGGGCACGGCCATGGGCAGAGGTCAAACTGACCTTGTCCCTCCAGACCACAGTGCAGAGCCACAGCCGATACGCAGCACATGGCAGACATTACTTCCACCATCAGAAGTCGGCCTCCTTTTGTGACAGACACATCAGTGTTTAAAACCCAGACCACTATGGCCTGGCTTCATCATTTGTCCTGTTTAGAAGTCTCCTGACCTAAGTACCTCAAATAAACGATGCCCCTCCTCAAGGTAGTCCCTGAGGAGATCTGGGAACTGCGGGAAGGCTCTGCAGGCAGGGGCACTCAGGCACCTCCATTGCCGTAAGTGGCTCCCAGCAGAGAGATCCAAACTTGTTTGTGTGTCTCAGTGTAGGTCTGTCTGTGGAGGATAAAGTCAGGGACATTATCTAGGGGTTACCCTCTTAGGATTCGGTCCCTTCTATCCTGGGCACAGGCTGTGCAGGTGGGAGAAGGGTATCCACTGGGAAGAGACAGAGCTGGGGATGTTGGCTCGTCACTTCCCCAGCTCTCGGGACTGGCCTGGCCCTGCCTCCTCGCCAGCACCGGGAGAGAGCTGGCCCCGGAACGGCAGCCAAGTACAAACAGAACCGACTAATCCATGCTTTCTTCCTCCTTGGATTTCAGTCCCGGGAGAGCCTCCGAGTTTTGTCTCGGTGACGCCGCACACCACTTCCTCTGTCCTGATCCAGTGGCAGGTAAGGGCCCAAGGAACCTCTCGGTGTCTGTAAATCCTGTGTGCTCATCCCCCGCTCATTCAGCATCTGCGGCAGCTGGACCAGACTGCAGACCAGCCCTGTGGCAGGTGTCTGAGGGCAAGACAAAGGCAGCACCCTGATCGGACTTCAGTCTGGGAGGGAAGGGGGTCGAAGTGCAGTTTCTAATACGGTGAAGACATGACTGTCAGGCACATGCAGGATGAACTTGATCTCAACTCACTAGGGAGGGACCGGCAGGAGGGCAAGGCTGGTGCAAAGAGCATCAGAGGACCAGAATGTTCCCTGCGTTTGGTGAGGATGGCAGAGCAGGGCTTCTGTGGTACACGTGAGACACATTCGTATCCTTCAGGGCAGTGAAACTGTAAGCTTTTCTACAGAAATCATTTGCAACCGGACAAAATATCGGCAGGATTGCATGCGACCCACTAAGTCCGAGTCTTTAATCCTCAGTGAACAGTGAGTCAAACCAAGGCTCATGCTCCTAGATGATCAAATAATCCTTAGTGGCTGTTAACCAACACTCTGATATGACATTGAAAGGACACGCTGCTCTCTTGTTGCCTTATTTCCAGTTTGGGTATTTTTTGGCTTAACAATGAGGTACATTGAGGACAAAAATAACAGAGGGGCAGAACTGCCAAGGAAGGCAGCCCAGCCGAGGGTGCTGGTGGGATCTGTGGGGAGGGGCTCAGCCAGGGCCTGGGGAGAGCCAGAGGGGACAGGCTCAGGAGCAGGGCTGGAGCTGGGCCAGGCAGGGTCAACAGATCAAGGGACAGGAGCCAAGGGCAGTGATAAGCATAGTTGAACCTTCTGTCCATCAAGAGAAGTTCCTGAGGCCGGAATGGGGGCTGCTGTCCTGGGAATAAGGGAGGGCAGTGCCTAGAGCCAGGGCTGTTGGGTAGGGGAGGCGGAGGGCAGGCACTGGGGTCTATGCTCAGAGCCAGGAGAGGTGAAGTCTGCCTAGGAGTGGCTGCTGTGGGCTGGGTCAAGAGACTGGTCTGTGGACATGACAGTCTTCCTCAAGTTTGATGATAATTGTCTAGACTAATGTCAGCATCTCATCCAGACTCAGTGGAGGGAGCAGACAGTTTGGGAGGTCAGGAGACAAAGGGACCCAGGTGATGCTGGAAACCGAGAGGAGAACAATGGTCTGGACGTGACCTTGGAGAGCTGAGAGGGCCGTGCCTTGACCAGGTGCACTAGGCTGGCACAAGGGAGGGCTGGAAGGGTTCCTTTGGAAAGGAACAGGAATGCCAGAAAACCCAGGGCAGGCCCTCAGGGAACCTGTCCTAAATGGAACACTTCCACAGGGCCCTGAAAGGGGGATGAGTTCTGGGTGTGGGAGTGGATTAGCCCTGCAGGCACCGGGACAGAGTATGCTGAAGATGCCTCTGGGCTGGGGCTGAGCCGAGTTACGAGGGCTCCCCAGCTACCACACCTTCTCAGGGACCCGACTTCTCGGGGACTGTTTAGATCCCCCCGAGAGTAGGCTTGAAGCTAGCAGGAGCTGGAGGCGCTGGGAAGGAAATCGGAGTCAGGAGCCCAGTGGTGGAGTGTGGGAGGAACCAGCAGTGACAGCGCTTCCTCAACTGCAAAGCTGGGGACTGCTACCCACTGAGGGTTTCTGCTGCTTCCGCTGATGTCATGACTCGGGGGCATCACTAAGTGTTAGGTTGAATCATAAGAAATATGACCGTGTGTAAGGTACAAAAGTGGCCCTTTCATATGGTTCAACCCAACATGACTTGACACTGCCCCTTAGACAAGGGATGGAGAGCAGGATTTTAATAAACTGAGTTTCTTTTAAGAGTGCATAACCTCCTTCAAGTATTGACAGAATAATCGTGGGCCACTTCTTCACCTCCTTCTGTTGCTAAGTGACAGCTTCTTGGAGGTGATGGGAACCTTTAAAGGTGATCGAAAGATATTTCCAAATGTCTTCCCTTGAAGCTGGAAATTCACCACCGTGGCATTCTGCAATTTCTGGCTTCACCAGAGTGTTGGGGACTGGATGCAAACCAAGAAAGTGTCAGCCAGGCTTCCATCCCCAGCCCCAGAGAAGCCATACCCCCAAGCTTGTCTCGGAGCCTCAGAGTCCCCGTCAAGTGAAGAGGGCCTGGCTCTAGATCTGCAGGCCCCAGCTTGCCATTGGACGACAGTGAGCCCGAGAGGCCTCTCTGGCTCCAGGTTCCTCCTCTGTAAAAATAGCTGGTCAAAAGTGACCTCTCAGTGTCCACAGGTCTCTGATCCAAGGCGCATTAGGTCTCCACACCCCCGACTCCCATTAGGGTCTTTGGTGGAAGGTCGGAAACATTCGAAATGGAAATTCAAGGTCCCAAGCGCTTCTGTTTCCCACCCTACACTAACATTATCAACCGAAAGAAGATTGGTCCTTTGCACTGTGCTAAATTCTACCAGAAAATTAGCATTTTCTTTGTAGATGTGGCATTTGGCCTCCCAGTAAGGAGGTAAGCTCCTATTCTGTAAAGGCAGCACTCAGGGCTGCAACACATCATCGCCTCCACAAAAGTTGCTGTTGACGTGACACCAGCTGCGGTGGACATGCCGCCAGCTGTCCACCCCGGCCATCCTGCCTCCCGACCACCCGGGGCTCCGAGCCCCTCAGCTGCGGTTGGACAGCTCTGTGAAGTGGTGCATAGCTGCACCAAAGGAACTTGGCATGTGTGTCCATCAGCTGTCCTCCTTCCCGGCCCAATAGAACAAACTAATTGCAAGAAGCCCAGAGCAGGAGGTGGTCAATACGATGTATTGTAGAAATAAATGCCTGTCAACTGCCAGGCAATTGAAGTATAATAAAAATTATGTGTAATTTACTAAATCAGAGTGAGCAGAACAAAGAGACTATGTTTAAATATAGATTTGCATTCCAAATGAAATGTTTCACCTGTAAACCATTTTTTTTTTAGTAATTTGTTTAAAAATGCAAACACCACCTGTAATTTCAAGGCTGCTGACCCGTTTAAAGTCTCCTCCATAGCAGTCTGTCAGGTTTGATTCTTCTTAGTAGGGTAATCAATCTTTACCTTTCATGGGGTCCAGTGCTGTTTGAAATCTAAAGATTTGAGCATGTATTCTAGACAGTACTGGTATTTTGTTCACACTGAGTGCAGCTCAGAATAGGCATTAACGTTTCTGAATTGGTCACAACATTGAAGCTGGCTGTTGTGAAACTTCCAGTGGATCATGCAGTCTGTCACTCAAATGTGGTTCCCCTTGGGTGGCTGCAGATTTCTCTAAGTGGACTTTGAGGCTGTTTTCTAGAAAAGAAAACATCCTAGGCAGTAGATCACATCACGTTCAATGGACTCAGCAGAGGACAGACTCGATGTTGTCATAGGTGCCTTCCTAAGAGGAGTGTTGCAGCCGCCTGGGTCCTGCCACTTACCCCGTCATCTGCAGAGGACCAGCTCCAGTGTAGGGGGCTGAGCACCCGGAGATGAATGAGACGGAGTTGAGGCCTTGAAGAGCTTCTATTTAGTGCATTGAGCTCTACAAAGCATGAGTGGGAAGACAGTGGAGGGGGAGCGATAACCCAGCCAGAGGTGGCCGGAGGGAGGGGGGAAGTGACAACTGAATGTGTTCTGCAGGATGAATGGACCTCCCCTAGGTAAAAGGCAGGGAGACAAGCATCCGGCCACCATGCACAGCCAGAGCAAAGGCTCAGAGGTGTGACAGCCACTGGGATTCGATGCTGTACTTCAGGAGAAGGCGTGTTGGAGCCAGGTTCTCTGGGGCCTCCTATGCTCTGCTGACTTAATCCTGTTGGTGTCAGAGGAAATCCTTGTTCTACACTCCAGGAAATGGAAGTCCTGGGAATATAAAGGAGAAGCTCAGACACCCAGGGATGATGGCAGTTGGATTAGATTTAGACTTGAGTTCCAGCCCTACCGCTGCTCGTGACGAGACCTTGGGCATGGTGTTGAACCTCTGGAAGCCCCAGGTCCCCACCTGTACAGTAGGGAGAGGTCTTGTCTGGGAAAGCCCACTGCGCCGATCCCAGCCTGCCCTGTGCGGGCAGCCGGGTGGAGTGGGACTATCATGGGAGTCCTGCCTCCTCCCAGCCCAAGCCCTTCCCTGCACTCAACACTGCTGCCTCCGGACACCCTGCCCTCGTACTCCCGAGTCGTGTCCAGCTCACTGTCCCCTTTCTGCCTGCTATTTTGGGTGATCAAGCCCAGGCTCACTCCTACCAGGTCATCTGCATCTTAACAGGGGACTTTTGAAAACTGAAAAGACACTCAGGATCCCCAAAGAGTCTACTAGTAGAATTTCTGGTGAGCAATAGGCAGAGTGCAGACATGTTCAGGAGGGGCTCCAGTCCCTTCAAGCATCTGCCCATACTAATAGCCAGTCCAGGGTGAAATTAACCAACCATCCATGGGGGAGCCTTGGATGTCAGCAAATCCAGCTCACGCCACAAGCACTGATTGAGCAACTGCTGTGTGCAAGGCCTGTCACAGGTGCTGAGGGGAAGATAGAAATGAACAAGACACAGACATGGCCTTGCCCTCCAATCAGTGCTGAATCAGAAACGTTAGGCATGGCGTGGTCAGGGCCAGGGCTGGGAGAACAGGTCTGTGTGTGCCAAGGGAACCTTCTGTTTAGAGTCGTCTGATACTGTAGGGACCATCTAGCCACACTGTTATGGATATGGGGTTGAGCGTGGGAGACTGAGTGGCCAGCCCAAGCCCACAAAGCCAGGACTTGAATCTAGAGCCTGAGCTCAGCCCATCGCTTCTAGAACTTTCCATGTGTCACATGGAGCTGCCCTACTGATACCTCCCAGGACATCCAGTCATAGAGGTCTCTTGCACAAATGACAGATAGGCTTATTCCAAACTCTAGGACCAGAAATGTGGTTAAACCCAATGCAGCATCCCAAGCAGGCAGCCCTGGAATCTCCGTGGAGTCTGCCCTTTGTGAGGCCAGGACCAGCTGCAGCCTTTAGAGAGGCTGCCCCTTGGGCTGTGTGACCACTTGTCCCCTCCCCAGGCCTGGATGGTTCCTGATGGGGGGGTGCGAGGGGGTTGCTGGTGCAGCATCAGTGAGTCTGTTGCCACATATGGACCCTGCCCGGTTGCCAGTGGCAGTTGTGCCTGTTCGGGGTGGGCCTCGGCCTCTTCTTACACCTCTGAAGCATCGTCTCTCTTTGGCTAGAAATATCTGTGAGCCCAGGATTGGTTGCCTCCCCACTTGCCTTCCATCTTCCAGCCCCAGGGTGTGTGGACACAGATGCTGGGGGAGGAGGTGCTTGCTGCCAGTGGCAGAACCACATCTGGTCCCCAGTGAGGACATTTTTTTTTCCCTAAACTCCCAATTTCTTGATTATTTGATATTTTTGGTGAGTGGAATTCAGTCCTCCCCCTGCCCCAGCCTCCCTTCTCCCCTAAAAGTACATTGCCCTCACTGTAATCCTATCAGGGCCTGTGTGTGTCTGCAGAGTCAGGCCCTGGGGACTCTGCAGTTTTCCTGCTGAGGTCCAAGTGCCTGCGGGCACCATGGGCATAATCTGGGCCTGCGAGGGAGGCTTTGAAGGTGACCTAGGGGTGAGATTGCTGGGCTGGTGCTTAAAGAGACCCACTGCAAGCTCTTAATCTGCCCACTCGCCTCTTCCTTCCCACCGATTCAAGTCAACTCGGATCCCAGGAAGGGAGGTATGAGATGTCTCCTCATCGCTGCCCAGACCCCTGCCACTCCCACCTGGCCTCTGCACAAGGATGAGGACGGTGCCCAGGGACTCTCAGCCAGGACGGCCTGGTTTCGTCGGAGCAGACCAGGGCTCACTGGGTGCCCTCCCTGGGTGCAGTGCTGTGTAGAACCCTGGATGCGGGGACACGAATCTCCATCAGTAGCCCAGGAAAGGAAAAGCCAAAGCCCGGGATCTTGGAAGTCTCTGCCGTCTCGCCTCGATTAACAGGAAGGATAAGCAGCCAGGCTGGCAGCTGAGCCCACATGTGGCTCCCATGGCCTGTCTGCTGGAGTTCAGCTCCAGGTCACTGTGGGGTCCACCCACATGAGGCACGATGGGGGACCTGGGCCCGTCTGAAATGCTGAGTCTTGGGGGTGGTGGGGGCAGGGAGCACAGCTGGCACAGACCCGGGGCCCAGAGAGGAAACTGACAGCCCAGGACGCAGGAGCACCCTCCCTGGGATGCTCCAGGTGTCTCCAGTACTAAGGTTTTGTCCATCAAAACTGGTAGAAAAGAAAAGGACACAATTTAATAAAACAAAAAACACAGCCTCTCTCTCTTGCCCCCAGTCAGACTTCTGGGCTTCCCAACCAGTTCTCTCCTCCCTTTTCTGGTGGCTCTCGGCTTCCTCAGTGCCTGGCTCTCTGGTCGGGTTTGGGTTTCATATTGTTCCCCTGAGAAGTGTGGGAAGCCCCGGGAACCTGTTGGGTGAGCTGGCAGAGGGCTCTCGCAGAGAAAGTGGTCCAGATCACTTTGGATTGTAAGTAGCAGGAGTTCAGATAGAACAGGATTTACCTGAATATCCAAATCCTTGTGGTCCTCGGGCTCGGGAAGTAAGAACTGAATAGTGAGAGTTTGGATAGCAAGGGTGTGCTAGTGTCCTGAGGCTGCCATAACAAGGTACCACAAATTGGCTGGCTTAGAACAACAGGAATTGATCCTATCACAGTTCTGAAGGCCAGAGTCCAAGGTCACGGTGGCCAACTTTGAAGACTCTAGGGAAGGATTCTTCTTTGCCTCCTCCAGCTTCTGGTGGTTGCTGGGTTGTAGACACATCACTCCATCTTTGCCTCCTTCTTCACATGAAGTTCTGTGTATCTAAATTTCCCTCGTCTTATAAGAATCTGTGGATCTTTTTATTGTCTCGGTCCATGGGGATTTCAGCCTTAGGTCCGAGTTGAGGCAGAATGGGGGTGACCTGGCATGCAGAGAGCTCATTGAGGGGCCCCGTGAGACTGCCACAAGCCTCAGTGGCCAGGGACTGAGGACAGGGTGGGGCCAGCCGGTGGACGATTCAGATCCAGGCCACATCCACCATTCCCTTAAGAGTTCTGAGTTTGCCAGGATCAGGCAGCTTCCTCACCCATCTGTGACCTGGGCCACAGTCGCCTGCCTCGGCCCTGGGGCTCATTTGAGTATCAAGCTGGACGTGGGATGAGACACCCGTGTCGCCACACAGGCCCCAGAAAACCTGGGCTCTGAGGGAATGCTCCACTGCCTGTTTTTTTTTTTTTCTTGTAAACAACTGAGAACCATCTATTTGAATTAGTGACTTCCTCCTGCACAGTTGGCTAATTAAACTTGAAGAAGAGGTCACCAGGCCCCTCCAGTGGGCTGACTGTGGTGATTTCTTTCAGCCTCCAAGGGACGAAAGCCTGAACGGCCTTCTTCAGGGGTACAGGATCTACTACCGGGAGCTGGAGTATGAGGCGGCCTCAGCCATAGAGTCCAAGACGCTCAAAAGCCCCTCAGCTTTACGGGCTGAGCTGACAGGTGAGACACTGTCCCCTCCATCCTGGCACAGGTACCAAACTAGGCCACCTGGGTCCCGGGTTGGCAGGGAGGTTCCCGGGTAATCATAGTGCATCTGCTCCATGCAAGGCCTGGTGGGAAATGCCATGGAGGGCCAGAGGAGATGCAGCTCGACCTCCAGTGTGCACAGGACCAGGGTGGACCTGTCTCTGCAGCAGCCCAGGGTACACAGTGAAGTGGGAGTGAAGAAAAGGCTCCAACCTTTGGGGCTTTCACCCAGTGGGGGGTCAGGGGAGGCTTCACGGAGAAGGAGCCATTGAGGTAGGCAGTAAGGATAAAAGGATTTCACCGAGGACGTGAAGGGAAAGGCATGACTTACAAGGGCCCAACAAAAACTAAATGATCAGGAGGCGGGACAAGGTGAGGGGCTCTAGGACCGGGCAGACAGGGTCAGCCAACCAGGAGCAGGTGAGTGCTTCCCTGTGTGAGGCCTGTGGGGGCGCGGCTGGGAAGGCCACGGGCCTTGTGTGCCACGATTTCATTAAGGGAGGAAAAGTAGCTGGGCCCTCCAGGGACGCAGCGCTGCCGCCCTCAGTGGAGCACGTCTGGGGTGAGATGGAGGCCGGCGACCAGCTGCAGCCTGTGGCACTGATCTGGACAGGTCAAGGGCAGGCTCCGCCCATCGTCACAGCAGACAGCCCTCCACGTGGAGCCCGTGGCTTCCCTCATCCCTGAGCTGATCTGCTCAGCCTGCATTCCGCTAGGATCGCTGGCATGGGCTCTGAAAGTTGTTCCAGCAGCTGTCGGGGCAGCTTCTGGAACCTGCACGCCCACAGCAGGGGCCTTTGATGCGCCAGGTTGTCTCCATGAGGGTCACACGTGCAGACGGGCAGCGCCCTGTGCTCACACAGCGGCCCCCTCCCTTTCTGGGGGCACGGGGCTGAGCTTGACCCTGGCTATGCCAGGAGTGGTGTTGATGGAGGGCAAGGGCTCAGCTCTCTCCCACACTCTTAGCACGCCCCCAGGCATCCCTTACTTATGGCCAGACAATTAGCGTCTCCCTGGGCTTTGCAACAAAATCAAAATAACAAAATAAAAGGACCCCAGGGTGCAGTTGGGTCCATATTCTACCTGGTCACAGGAGCTCTTCATTTGTGGTGTGCCCCTCCCCTTCAGACCAGGGCTCTTAGCTGAGCACAGGTAAGCTGACAACTGCATCTGCCACAGGGTATCTAGAAAAGTCGCTGCCCCAGGAGAAACCGATTTCTGTGTCTTTGCTACTGTTTCTTTGCGCTATGTCGTGCCAGATACTAATTTGATCCATTTAATCGGAGAGGTGAGCTCATGCCCCACCCCGTCGTGGGCCGGGATGCCTGGCTGTTTTATGAAGAAGCGTGGTAACCCCCAGTGAGCTGATGGAAGTGTTGTGGTGGCAGCGTGGGAGCTGAGTGGCTCCCGGGCGAGGCACCATTTCCTCCGTTTCTGCAGCACATCATTTGCAATAACTGTTCCCTGCATGCTAACTGCCTTTCTGCTTTGCTTACCCCTAATAGCCCAAAGCAGCTTCAAGACCGTGAACAGCAGTTCCACATTAACGACGTATGAATTAACACGTAAGTGCACACCGCCTTCAGCAGGAAGCTACCGTGACCCGGGGAGCAGGTTGGAGCCAGAGCCAATTGGCCTCTCAATGGACCAAGTGAAAACCAGCTTGGATTAATGGCTCTAATTTCTGGAATTTCCCCTCTCAAATGCTGCTTCTTGACTTGCCAAAACCATCAGGGAGACAGGAAAGGAAACTTCTAGAAACAGAGGCAGGGAAGGGGGATTTACTGACAGCTGGTCTTCAAGTTTGGGACAGAAAGTCAAAGTGGGCAAGATCTCATCTCTGGCTCCTTCGACTTTTTTTTAATCCTTTTTGTGTGTGTGGTAAAATATGCATAACATAAAATTTACCATTTTATTTACCATTAACTTAAAAACTTAACCATTTTTAAGTGCACAGTTCGGTGACATTAAGTATATTCACCTTGTTGTGCAACCACCACCACCATCCATCTCCAGAACTTTTTCATCTTCCCAAACTGAAACTCTGTCCCCATTAAACACTCACTCCCCATCCCCCTCCCCCAGCCCCTGGCACCCACCCTTCTACTTTCTGTCTCTGTGAATCTGACTCCTATAGGGACCTCATATAAGTGGAATCATACCAGATTTGTCCTTTTATGTCTGGCTCATTTCACTTCTAGGTTCCTCCATGCTATAGGATGTATCAGCATTTCCTTCCTTTTTAAGGCTAATATCCCATTGCCTGCTCCATGTTGTTTATCCCTCCATCCTCCCTTCATCTTTAACTAAACCGTGTCACTTCCTCTTGGATTCCTGGCTGGGGGATGTGTTTTAAGGTCCAAGTGCAGGTCTAAGTGGGCCCACAGTGTGACTCACTTAAGTGCAGAGGACTTTGCTGGATTAGAAAGTGGATGAAGGAAGGAAGAGGAGGAGCTAGCCCTTTCTGAGGCCCTACTGTGTGCAGACACCCTTCCAGGGCTGGTCAGCGCCACCCCATTTCATCCCTGCCACCGCCCTGCGAGCAGCTGGCCCAGCCCTGGGGGCCGGGGCCTCTGTGCTCTCCTCTGCGCGTGCTGCTTCCCTAAACATTGCTTCGTCCATCTGTCCTCTGCTCACTCACCCGCTTCCCTGTGCACCCGTCACTCATTCGCCCATTTCCTTGTCTCTCCCATCACACGCTCACTGAGTGCCCGCCCGGGCCAGCCACTCTCCCAAACGCAGCCTCATTGAGAAGCAGCTTAAAGAGTTTAGTGCAGACTGGGCTCTGGGGATGAGGGCTCCCTGTCTGGATCTCACTCTAGGCTTTTCAGTCCCGGGTTATGAAGACTGAGAGGGGAGGCCCCAACCCAGCTTGTCCATGTCCACTCTGGTTTCTCAGTTGATTCCTTATAGCCCCTTCTCCTTCTGTGGACTCAGCATCCACACAAGCCCCTGGGTTGACACTAACAAGCCAGGCCGGGTGAGTCTCCAAAGCCATTTCCGGTGGGTTGTTTATAAGGCAGCATAGCTCCACTGTGCTGAGAATGGGAGAGGCTGGATCCCAACTCGGCCACATGGGCAGAACCTGTCGACATTTCTCTGCAGCGATGGAGGGAGGACCTGGGTCTGACTCATTGAAGCTCTGCTACTAGGAGGCAAGATTTGCAGGCCTGTCATGAGTCACCATTCACCCCATTCACACAGGTTATCAGACATGCACGTAGGGCCTCAGGAAAACCAAGCTACAGAAGAAGCAATATTAACCAGTGGGAGAACCTTCCAGAATGTTTTGGTTTAAAGGTCAGCCACTCTCACCAAGTCGATTAGCACAGAGCTCCCACTCAGCTACCCGCCCTGTGTAATCCTATATACATGGCTTCACAGACTCTTTTCTCCCCAGGACACATTCATTAAAAACTCAAAGGCCTTTGGTTTGCCTATGTATATATATATTTTTAAATGCCAGAATATTACTCCACCTGTTCTTACTTTTAAGGGGAGATTCTGGACCAAAAGGCAAGCCCATGTCATGTCTTGTAACGTAGATTCTTTACCTTAGAATCTTGCTGCTGCCCCATCCCTGCATGCACCGGGATGAGGCTTTGGCTTCACCAAATGTGGCTGCTTCATCCCTCCCCGGGAGGAGGAGGACGGTGACACTGCTGGGAACAGAGGGTGGCAGCCCTTAAGACTGTGAACCTGTGAGGTGTAGTTCACAGAGGGGACTTTCTCAGGAGGGAGGTGGTCCTGGGCCAGCTGACCCATGTCTCCATCGCCTTGCAGATCTGAAGAAGTACCGGCGCTACGAAGTGATCATGACGGCCTACAACATCATCGGCGAGAGCCCGGCCAGCGCGCCCGTGGAGGTCTTCGTTGGCGAGGCTGGTAAGCTCTGAGCGTCCCTCCCCACACCTGAGGCCACGGCGCAAGGCCTGGCCCGGCACGCTCAGGCGCCAAGCAGTGTCCGCCCAAATTAAAGGTCATGTTGCTGGTGGGATGGGAAGTTTCTAGGTCACAGGCTCGGCCAACGGCTGGAATGTCCCCAAGGCTGGAGTGAGAGATCGTCTTGCCTTGAGAACCAAGGGGTTTCTTTAACATCTGGAGTCATCATATTTATAGGACCTGTCCTAGGAGAGCAATGCTGTTGTGTCCCTGGGGACCTAGGTGTATGGGGACCTCGGCATCTGGAGGGGGATGTCTGTACTTTGTCACCCGCCATCCCTGGCTGGGCCTCCCTCGACAGTGGCCCCAGCACCCGGGTCAGCCTGACTACCTGGTAACAGCCCCTTCTTGGGTCTCAGAAGCCACATGGGTGGTTATTTCCACCCCTTTTAGATAGGATGTGGCCCCTGAGTTTGCTTCAAGGATCGTCCCTTCCGTGGGGCTGACTCGTAGGGAGACATCACGTCCTGTGTTGAGATCAGGTTGTGCCTGTGTCCTCCCCGGGCCCAGCATAGCCTTGGTAGCCAGAACACCACCTGCCCTCTGGCCAGAGGGGCCCTGCCCACAGCTCCTCCCCCTCCCCCTCAGCCTGGGGTTTCTGATCAGATCTGCTGGGCAGGGTGAGAAGGGTGGAGCTTCCAACCAGAAATGATTGGAATTCCCTAAGGACAGAGGCCCAGGCTAGCAGGGGGAAGGAAGTTTGGGTCCCTGGCCCTGTGCACAGGAACACATCAGGTGACCTTTTGTCATGTGGAGAGGTTATTATTATAAACCAATCAGCAGCACTGAGGGTCTAGCTCAGCAGGCTTTTTCTGGAGTGGTCAAGCAACATTTGCACACAAGTGGTGATGAGTGAAGTGAGACACCTGGAGCATAGGATAGATTGGCCTCTCTTTACACAGAAATCTGTCCCAAGGGGTTACTTGGAGCAGCAGGTGGGGGCTGGGTGGTCCAGGAAGGGGTGGGTCTGGCCACAAAGAGCTGACCGAGGCAGAGGAGGGGATGCGCTGTCTGTAAGTGTGGGTGCTCTGGCTGGCTTCTGGCACCTGGGATCTAGTTGGCCACCAAGGGGGGGTGGTCATATCCGTGGGTTGAAGGGAGTGCACAGTGGGCAGCCGGGATCCGAGGTACCTGCATTGCCCACCGGTCAGCCTGCACTCCAGAAGGGGACCCAGCATCCAGGGGGAACTTGGGGGACGCTAGGCAGGGCCTTAGTCCCAGGGACCAGGGCAGACATCCAGAGAAGACGACTGGAGTCTGGGAAGGAGACCAGGTACGCACTGGGGAGCCGCGTCGGGTCAGCCAAGTGACAACGTGACAATGTCTGGGTTCCCAGCTCTAGTTCTGGGTTTGTTTGTTTGTTTTGTGGTAAAATACGTATAACATGAAATTTACCACCCTAACCATTTTCAAGTGTGCAATTCGGCGGCATTGAGCCCATTCACGATGGTGTGCAGCCATCACCACCATCCGTATCCAGGACTTTTTCATCGTCCCAAGCAGAAACTCTGCACCCATTAAGCAGTCCCTTCCCTTTTCCCCCTCCTCCCCAGCCCCTGACAGCCTCTAATTTACTTTCTGACTCTATGAATTTGCCTATTCTAGATATCTCGTGGACGTGGAATCATACAGTGTTTCTTCTTTTGTAGCTGGCTTCTCTCACTCAGCATCATGTCCTCAAGGTTCACCCATGTTGTAGCCAGTGTCTGCACTCCATTCCTTCTCATGGCTGAGTAGTATTCCATTGTATGCAGACACCACAGTTTGTTTATCTGTTCGTCCATTGAGGGACATGTGGGTTGTTTCCACCTCTAGGGTTTTGTGAGTGACCTGCTGTGAGCATGGGTGCTGCAGGTCTTTTGCAGAGGTGCTGAGCTGACACAGCCCAGTGGGGAGGAGGCAGCTACAGAGACTGCAGCCAGGTGGGCCTGGCCCCGGACACAGGATGCTGGCTTCTCCTGCTCCCCCCGGGGCCTCTCCTCCCCTCCCCGCTCCACAAGGGGGGTCCCTGCTCCAGCTCTTACCATGGAGGCCTGTCCTCCTGTCCTGCCTTCTTCCCGACACACCCACTCCCCCACGGTGATTCACTGCCACGAAGTGTCCCTGTCTCAGCCTCTGGGTCCTTTATAATCCCGCAGACGGAAAAGGGGAGCCCTACCCAGCATGCCCAGGCTCCCATGGCTGGTCTGACCCCACACATGTGAGCTCTGAGTAGCTAGCTGTGTTGCTGACGGAGCCTGAAGGAGGTGCTAAGAACCAGGGCGAAGCTGGGGCACATTCGGGTGCCCGGGAAGTGCTCTGCAGAGCCTCATGAAATTGGCTTCCATGCAAAGCACTGGAGCACTGTTCACCCTCTTATCCCCTGGTCAGTCCTGCTCATGATCCAGGAGCGGGCTCCAGAGGCTTCTCCTCGGGAAGCTCTCTCCTACCCCCTCACTCTAGGCAGAGTTCCAGGGTTCTTCCTCGGTGCCCGGATCCTTGGCCACTTTGTGAATACCTCTGCATTTTGTGATCACATGGGCCTGTCCTGTCTTTGTATGTCTCCTCCTCACCGGACCATGGCGTCTCATCTCGGAATGCTCCTTGTCCTGGGATTAGGACCCAAGGGGCCCCGAATGACTTTGCTGTCCTGCAGATAGACGTTCTAGAACTCCGATGTGAGGCCTGCAGCAGTGGGCATCCTGGACACTGGCACACACCTGTAGATCAGGCTGAGATGAGAGCAGGTGGAATTCGTGTCTCAGAGCAGGTGGGAGGAAGTGGGAGGACAGAGCTAATCAGAAGATGCCTCATCCTGAAGGAAGGTGACAAGTGACAGAGACGTCTGCCCCCATAACTGCAGTGGCCCCAGTAACCTTGCTACTGCAGACACACACACTTCTGTCCTGGGCTTGTTTCTCTATTTCATTTTCTTCCTGATGCTCCTGCGGCAGCCTCGGCAGGGGAACGTGAGGCGGCCCCAGCGAGGGTGCAGGAGCCCTCGGGAGGAGGGCAGGCGGGATGCTGGAATACTGCCCCCTCAGTCTCAGTGGGCGGGCAGTGGTGACAGGAACCAGACCAAATCTGCTAAATGCTAAGTGCCAGGCTCTTTGCAAGGGGATTCTCGTAAGGGCCACACACATGAAAAACCCCACACATGGCCCTACAACTCCGTTGGTGGGAGGGAGGCAGGAATGGAAGGAAGTTCTATATTTGCTCCTCCCGCCATAATGTGGGTTACAGCCTGTCAAAGAGACTCCAGTCGAGGACATACAAGCAGGAGACAGAGCGCAGAGGCAGAGGGGGCTGGAGGACCCTAGGAGGGGTGTGCAGTGTGGCTTTGGGGAGGGAGAAAGGGCGAGGAGGAGGGTCGCCTGGCCGAGACCTGCCTGCGATGTCCCATGGAAACGGGCACTGACCTGTGCTCTGGGACCTGAGATGCAGGACGTGGGGAGGATCAGGGGCCAAAGCTGTACGCGGTAAAATGAGAATGCTCTGATGCTTGGGTGGAGAAGAAGATGGGAAGCAGGCTTCTCGGTGCGCACAGTAGCTGCTCTGGAGCCGCCGGTGAAAGAATCTCGGGTTTGCCGTAAGCAGCTGGGGCAGAGATTGCTGTGTTCACCCCAAACTGTCTCCTTTCCCCCGGCTCACGGCCAGACCACTTTCCCAGCGTCCATCCATTACAGTTGCGTGCGGTCACGTGACCGAGTGCGGCCAACGTTGTGTGAGCAGAAAGGACCCCACCACTTCCCAGTGAAGGAGGTTAAGGGGCGGATTGAATTGAGGGGACCCCATGTCCTAAATGAGGTGGAGCCATGAGACACAGACCCCACGTGCCCACGGGGAAGGCCGTGGGCTCCTGGCTCCTGGCCAGGAGCACTGGGACTTGTCAGGAGCAAGAAGGAAACTTCCTTCATGCCGACCTGCAGCGCGGCCTGTGTTGATCTAACTGATACACTGAGGAAAGGCGGCAGGAAGTCGGAGCACAGAATCCACAAGGGCCTGAGATACGCAGCTGTCACCGGCATCCTCCATAGTTTGGAATGCCATCCTTGTGGTTTTATTTAACAGGTACACACATGGCAGCAAGGCCCCACAAGTCCTTTCTCGCTCCGGGCACCCAACCCATCCCAGCCCTCTTTCTCCATCCTCAGACACACACTCTCCACACACGGGGTCCTCCCATCTGACCCTGGGGCCTAGGAAGAGGGTTCCAGTCCAGCCTGTGTGGACGGTGTCTGGGATGGTGGCTCAGAAGAAGCTTCTATATTGTCATCCCAGCTATTACTGATGAAGAAAGTGAGGCTCAGAGAAGACACGTCACTTCCCCAAGTCCACACTGCAGGCCGTCCACCTGGTCTCCCGCCCTCCACACCTGCAGATGGCCAGCCCTTCCATTGTGAACCCAGGGTCCTTCCCAAAGGCTCCTCTACTGGCTTCCTCCTCTGAGGCTTGGGGGCGGAGTCCTGTGACTGTTTCCACCATACCTCTCCTTGCTCTGGTTAGTTTGGGGTCCCAAGACAAAACGTGGGACCGGGAGGGGTCCCTGCATTCAGTCTCCTGCTCCTCCCCCCGTCAGATGAGGCATGGCTCTCCCATCCTGAAGACACACAAACATCACCATGTGTTGGGCCTGGCAGAGCCCGTCCCTGCAGTTGGGCTTCTCAGCTGTTGTTCAGCCTCAGCACGTTTCTCTGTCATCTGTGTTTACACGGCAGAGAATGTTCCAGAAGGAGGATGCCAGTGCTTCCAGCAGTGCTGCCATCCCAGTCTCTGCCTCTCACAGCCCAAGTATCCCCGTTGTAATGACTTCATTCTGACAGTAAGAGGTACTACTAACCAAGCCTTCAGAAAATAAAATGAAATCGGGCCGATTTCTGTTTACTCGGCTGGATGCTTCATCGTATCACAAATTAGTCAGCGTGAAATGCTCAGACTTTTATGAAAACTGAGACTGAACTGTG